TCAACACTCCCACTCTAGCTTGGTGGTAGATATCATCCATACACTGTTTGCGATTCAGTTCTTCAAAGTTAGTTCGAGGAAGAGCTTTAGTGAGTATGTCAGATGTTTGGAATCTGGTAGGGGTGTAGACCAGTTGTATAATTGCTTTCTCAATCTTCTCTGAGATGAAATGCTTGTCAATCTCTATGTGCTTTGTCCTGTCATGATGCACGGGATTATTTGCAATGCTTATGGCTGCTTGGTTGTCACAAAACATCTTGATGGACTTCTCACTTGGTACTCCTAGCTCACCAAGTAGTCTTTGTATCCACATTTCTTCACAGATACCTAGAGCTAGTGCTCTGAATTCAGCTTGTGCACTACTTCTTGAAACTACAGATTGTTTCTTGCTCCTCCAAGTCACAAGATTTTCCCAAACATAGGAACAATACCCAGATGTAGATCGCCTGTCTAAGATATCTCCTGCCCAGTTTGCATCTGAGAACACTTCAATATCTCTACGGTTATTCTTCTTGTATAATAGGCATTTTCTTGGTGTCATCTTAAGATACCTTAAAATCCGGTTCACAGCTGCCATATGTTCTTCTGTTGGGTTGTTCATAAACTGACTTACAACACTAACAGAGAAACCAATATCAAGTCGTGTGTGTGAGAGGTAGATTAGTCGTCCCACTAGTCTCTGATATCTCCCCCTGTCTACTGGAGCACTATTTTCTTCAGTCCCTATCTTTGTCATTGAATCCATTAGAGTGTATGCAGGCTTACATCCCAGCATGCCTGTCTCCTTTAGTAAGTCCAGAACATATTTTCGTTGAGAGACGAATATTCCTTTCTTAGATCGTGCCACCTCTATGCCCAAGAAATATTTGAGCTCACCGAGCTCTTTGATTTCAAATTCCTTGGCCAAAAGCTTCTTCAATCTCAATAGCTCTCCTTTATAATCACCTGTTAGAATAATATCATCAACGTACACAATCCGTACTGTTATTTTCCTCTCTAAAGAGAACTTCACAAATAATGTATGATCTGCCTGACATTGGGTGTACCCATGCCTCACTACTGACTTTACAAACCTATCAAACCATGCATGAGTAGATTGCTTAAGTCCGTACAAAGATTTTTTAAGTTTGCACACTTTGTTGCTGTTGAGGGAATTTTCCAGTCCCGGTGGTATTTCCATATACACTTCTTCTTCCAGATCAATATTTAAGAATGCATGTTTTACATCCAGTTGGTGTAATGGCCAATCTCGGTTTGCTGCAAGGGAAAGAAGAACCCGGATAGTATTGAGTTTGTAACTAGAGCAAATGTTTCGTAGTAGTCTATTCCATAAGACTGAGTAAAGCCCTTAGCAACCAGGTGGGCCTTTAGTCTTTCAATACTACCGTCAGCCTTATATTTGACAGTAAAAATCCACTTACAGCTAACTGGTTTCTTACCAGGAGGGAGATTTAAGATTACCCATGTGCCATTTTTCTCCAAGGCTTTAACTTCTTCACCAACTGCCTTTCTCCACTTTGAATTCTTGAGAGCTTCCTGAATAGAATTAGGTACCTGTACACTATCAAGAGTCGAAACAAATGCCTGATAGGATGGAGATAATTTTCCATAGGAAACAAAGTTGTAGATGGGGTGTTGTGTGCATGTTCTAACACCCTTTCTTAGAGCAATCTGCATATCATAATTATCAGTGGCAATTGCTTCATTCTCAATCTCAAGAGTGGAGGTTTCCTTACCTGAGTGAATTTGAATAGGTTTTGGACTCAGTACAGGTTCTTGAACATGTGCGAGAGGAGTTGAGTGCTCTATCTCCCTTTCGGGCTTTTTCTTCTAACATAGACACGAAGCTATTTACTTGCAGTTTGTGGTGATTTGGAGTGGTTGTGGACAGGCGAGGATGGATTAGAAACTGGATTTTATGGTGGGTTTACAGGTGGTTGTTGACTCTCGGATTCACTGTCAGGTTGTATATGATCCATAGTCTCTGGAAGAATTTCATTATACTGTGGTGAATGACCAGAATATGATTCAGTATTGGCTGGAACATCCCAAAGCTGATATTCCCTCATGTTCTCCCCTTGAATTTCAAATTTGGGGTAGTAGGATTGATGTTCAAAGAAGGTCACATCCATTGAGTTGTAAAACTTTCGGGTAGTAGGTGAATAACACTCGTACCCCTTTTGGTTTGAGGAGTACCCGAGAAAAATGCACTTGATGGATTTAGGATCTAATTTGCTACGATTTTCCTGATGGATATGAACAAATGTTGAACACCCGAATACCTTTGGATATAAGGAAGAAATAATTTTGGTATATGGGTAGTTTTGGAGAAAGACTCGATAAGGAGTTTGGAATTGGAGAACTCGAGAGGGCATTCTATTGATCGGGTATGCAGATGTAAGGACTGCTTCTCCCCAGAAATACTTTGAAACATTAGTGGAGAACATGAGAGATCGAGCTACCTCAAGTAGATGTTTGTTTTTCCTTTCTGCAACCCCGTTTTGTTGGGGAGTATCAATACAGAAGCTTAACTGGATTATGCCCTGACTCAAGAGGTAATTACCAAGGATAGTTTTGAAGTATTCTTTGGCATTGTCAGTTTTTAAAACTCGAATCTTGGTTTGGAATTGGGTTCGTATCATGGAATTGAAATTTTGAAAAATTTGACCTACTTCAGATTTTTCTTTCATGAGAAATATCCAAGTCGATCTAGTGTGATCATCAACAAATGATATGAACCATCGAGTTCCTGTTACGTTTTTTACTCTTGAGGGGCCCCAGACATCACTATGGATCAAGGAAAATGGTTGAGATGGCTTATACAAATGACTAGGATAGCTACTACGAGTATGTTTGGCAAGTTAACAAATTTCACAATAAAAAGGCATTGAACTTTTATTGATAAACAAATAAGGAAACAATTTTTTCATATACATAAAATTTGGATGACCAAGACGATAGTGTTATAGCATAAATTCACTATCTTTATTTACATAAGAATTTAAAGCTGATTGACTCTTAAAGGACACACCACTTTCATTTTGAGCTTGTTTTCTTAGAGGAGAGTTTCTTTTGAGTAGATAGAGCCCAGAACACATCTCAGCACTACCAATCTTCCTCCCAAAATCCAATTCCTGAAATTCACACAAGTTTGGAAAGAATTTAGTTACACATTCAGATCACTGGTCAATTTACTAACTGAAAGTAAATTACAGTCCAAACTAGGAACATGGAGGACAGAGTTTAGAATCAAGTCCTTAGTAATTTGGACCGTGCCTATTCCCTCAACTTTGGATGAGGAACCTTCAGCAATTCGGATGGTAAGATTCTCACTGGATGGCCTGTATTGGTGAAATATAGTTGCATCTCCCGTCGTGTGATCTGACGCTCAAGAGTAAATAATCCATGGTTTCGCGTGCCCTTTATTAGCTATAAAGGCCATTGGAAGGTTACCTTTTTGTGCTAACATAATGGTTCCAGGCATCGTAGTACTTAGTTGAGGCTAAATATTCTGGTTGAAAAACTTTTGTAGGACTTCAAGTTGTTCTTTGGTGAAAGGACTTGTCTCACTTGCGGTTGGACTATCTTCTTCGGCGGCATCAACATAGGCACAATTTTCTTTGTCATTTGTTGGTCATGAGGGCTTCCAATCAGCGGGTTTGCCATGAATTTTTCAGCAATTATCTCTGAGATGTCCTGGTTTGTGGCAGTGGTCACACCATGGTCTTCTGTCCTCTGTCGGTTGTCAATATTGTTGTTTGTTGGCGGTCCTTGTGTTGTAAGGGCAGATCCTTCAAGTGTTAGGGTAGATTCCTGAGATCCCATCATCACCTTTTTCCTGCTTTCTTCACATCGAACTTCTGAGAAGGCCTCACAAATGCTAGGAAAAGGTTTGGTCCCCATTACTCTTCCTCTGACTTCGTCTAAATTTTTGTTGAGGCCAAGAAGAAACTTGAACGTCCGTTTCTGCTCCACAATTTTCCGGTAGAGGGCTGTGTCATCAGGGCACTTCCATGTGTGGACTTCGAATACATCAAGATGTTGCCAATAGTGAGTGAGAGTATTAAAATACTAAGTGACTGTGAGGTTTCCTTGACGAAGATCGTGTAACTTAGCCTCAATTTCAAAGAGTTCTGAAATATTATCATAACTTGAATATGTCTCCCTAACAGCATCCTAGATTTCTTGTGATGTTCCATACAAGAGAAAATTTTCTCCTATCTCATTGTTCATTGAGTTAACCAACCATGACATTACCATATGGTTCTCGGTTTTACATTGCCTGTATTTAGGATCATTCTTTTCTAGAATGGTGACTTCACCAGTGAGATATTCATCTTTGCCTCTCCCACAAAAAAACATCATAACCGACTGGGACCATTGGAGACAGTTCTGGCCATTGAGTTTGTGGCCAGTGATGAGAAGAGGAGTGTCCGTTCCTCCATGGCTGCTCGAAGCTGGTGCGGCAATTTCTGGATTGGAGGTTACTTCGGATGTAGAGCTTTGTCTCTCAGTAGCCATGCCAAATTTGGCCATGAAGAAGGGATTAGGGTTTTTTAGAGGTAGGCTCTAATACCATGAAAATTACTGAGAGAAAAGGTAGGCTCTTTAATTTTCTCTTATTCATTGAATGTAAAATTACAGCTATATATATAGGGAAATGGTTGCAGTCTGCAACCGTGTGAACAAAATAAAAAAATCAACATAATCAGGGAAACAATCTAGCCTAAATAAGGAAAGAGAATAAACGGAAATTAGTAACTTAATACAAAATATTCAGCTATCCTAATATAGAATAATGCAGCCCTGGAAATCCGAACTAAGGCAAGATTTTAACACAAACAAAAGCTCAATTTTTAACAAAATCCAAAACACGACAGTTCTGACGCATCTTTTTTTTTCATTTCTTGATGAACTATACTTGGCGATCATCCGCTTCAAAAAAAGCTTACCGATCTCCGAGCTACTAAGATCAGAAACCCAACCTAACTTTAACCAGTCAACTTAGTTAAGTATATTCCCATCTTGTATCCTTAGTCAAAAGAGCACACAAAGAAAAGCCTCCTCAGTGAGCTTGAGGTTAGCCTTGGCCTGCAAAAACTGCTTCTCCAAGGCAGCACTGTCCCGCTCATTCTGGCACAACAGCATCGTTAGTGTCGACAATTGGCACCGCAGACTATCCCTCTCCTCATTCAAATGCCTCTTTTGATTTGCCAGCGTAAGAACACCCTCCCTGCCACTCCAAATGGGAACTTGCGCTAAGTCCAAACGTCACAGTAGTAGACAACCAAGATAAATCAAACCCCAAAAGTTGAGCCTCCTTCCACAGCCCTTTGAGACGCTTGCACATCTCCTCAGTCATTTCTCTCCTTCTCGTTGAATGCAGGAAAAACAGCAGCTCCCCCAACGTTTCATAAGCAAAATGGCGCCATCTGGAGGTCCTGCTGCCCGAGCAAATGGCCAAATCTGGATGATCAAGACAGGCCTCCTCAAGCAATGCGGCATGGCACCTTGGAAGCATTGCCAAGCCCCGGAAGTCCACCAAGTCATCATTTGATGTTTCGGATTTGACTTGGACATGCGGCTGAGTTGAAGAAAGATCCTTTTGTGGGGCAGACTTTGTGCATTGCACTTGGACAGAATTTTCATGCGTTTGGTCTTGAGGTGCGCTGAACCTGGTAGCAACACCAACTAAAGCTTCTGTGAGGTTCTGCTGCGATTGTTTGGGGGCTGATGGTGTACTCTCTGCCGTCTCCATTACCTTATGCAGGGGATGCTTTCCGCTTTTATTATTCTGACAAGTAACAATTAACATTTACAACATTTGTAGAGGCAGTTCAAACCTTATTGCAGTCCTTGGTAGCTTTGGCCAATAACTCCGAAGCATCCGCAACTTTCTTGTCGCGACTTCTTTTCCTATTTCCCTTTAATCCCCGGAGGTTCTTTACACCCAGCATATCCTCCAACCATGTCTTTTCAGGAGGAGAGGACCTGATAACAGCATAATTTTCAAAGAATCAAGTAGTGTACATTGACAAAGATCAACAAAAAACTTAGCCTATATATGATAGATATCTGAAAGACAAATTAACACTCACACAATAGCAAGCATTTTAGTAAACGTGCAAAACTAACCACCAACTGAAGCTTTACTATATTTCCCCACATCAGACTAGTCAACTAGATACCTGACTCAAGAAGGAAAAGATGAAACACCTAGGACAGAGACGGTATTGCGAGAATCACAATGTTTTTCATCCCATAGTAATCTTGCTTTACAGTCGAAGTAGGGAGCGCGTTTTGCTCAACTAGAAAGGATGTGTAATGATTTTGGCAATGGCTCAATCTCATCGAATTTTAACAGAGTGGTGCTAGTGATTCCAACTTTTTCATACCAATTCACACAGCGAAGAGTTGTCATCTTTGATGAGTGATCCCAGCTTTTTCATACCAATTCACATAGCGAATAGTTGTCATCTTTAATCTCATCTAGACGTGATAACCTTTTAATATCAACAAACTTCTTAATTTTTTAATCACCTTCCAATATGATATAGCATTATTTTGTATACTAGATTTCCACATTTTTATGCAAATAGCATACCTAATCATCAGCTGACCTGATGATGACTACAAGACCCAAGGTACGAGCCTTACATGTAGTCTTACATATAGAACTCACATCCTATTACACTAAGGTTATTAAACATGAAAGCCAAGAAGAAAAAAATAAATAAATAAGGGTATTTAATCTTTAATGCATATTAACGATATCTACCACATCCACTTTGAATTTGATAGACACTGATATTAAAGCTCTATTGTTTCCATTATCACCAGGCTTTGCAGCAACAACAACGGTATGAAAGAGAAGCTGCTCTTGCTGAGATTGAACAAAGCCGCAAGACGTTGCTTGATAAGTTGAAGGACTACAAAGGAGAGCAATTGGAAGTCATAAATGAGGCATCTGCTTTTGCTGGCGAGACAGTGGAGCGGAACAATGATCTCCTGCTTCCACCATACCCAACCCGCCCTCCGCAATCCTTGCGTAGAGATAACGGCTATTTGCCATCTTTGCACAAGATTGTTCGAAATGGTGTAACCTCCGGTGATGCCACAAACGGAGAAAAGAAGGATCCACATGAGTTGGAGCGAAATAAGAATTCGAGAGGAATGGGGTCCTTTTTGGGTGTGGCAGCAAAGACAGTGCTCACCCTTGTTGGTGTGGTATCAGTGTTGAGTCTGTCTGGCTTCGGGCCTAAATTTTCGGGTAGAGAAACCCCTTTGAAGCTTTTGAGCTTCTTTAATCAACAAGCATCTGAAGAAAAGAGATCAAGCATTAACTGCCCACCTGGGAAAATCTTGGTGGTGGAAAATGGCGAGGCTCGATGTCTTGTGAAAGAGAGAGTTGAAGTTCCGTTTTCCTCGGCAGCTGCAAAACCAGATGTAAACTATGGATGTGGTTAATTTATTAGTGTTCGTTTTGCCCTTCTTCTGTATATCTTGTTTCTTTGTGTTGAGGTGTAACGAGAAAATTTCATCAAGGGTCTAATTTTATTTCAAAAAAAGTAATCTCTCTCTCTCTCTCATGATTTTGTTTCTTAGTGCTTGTTTGGTAAAAGGGTTCAAATCTCTAGTCTAATAATTTTGCTACAATGTTTTTTCCTACAGAAATTTAAATTTTGATTATCAACTAAATGAGCACTTTAATTTTATAAGCGTTCGATTCAATGTAAAGATGGACTAATTTACGAATTTATTTATGTTTTTCGTGTCTTGGGAACTAGGGGTTAGGATCAATCTTTTGTTAATTATTTTAAGGGTAGTAATGACATTAAACTGAATATTATTTTGTTTAGGATTTTAAATTTGGCATTATTATTAATTTAGGAATTAGATTTCCTTTCAAATTAGGAATTAGATCTTACTTTCTACTTCGATTTGTTTTAGGACTTTGGCTGTGGACTTGTGGTGCCTATAAAAGGAAGCTTAGGACGTATTTTTACTTACCGGATTGAAGAACTTCATAACTTGTTTAAGAAGAAAAAAAGAAAAGAAAAGAACAAGTAGAAAAGTGAAGAACAGGAACTTAGTATCCAGAAATCAGAAGCATCATGAAGTGTAAGTAATACTAATCTATACGTATTCTTTTGGATCAGCAGTTTTTAATTTTTGTTAAGGTTTTTCAGAAACATGAAATCTAATTAAACATGGATCACTGATGACGTTTATATTACTTAATGACAAACCAAAAGGATGATTTTTTTTTTTAATTCTTACTTTCTATATAAATGTATGAAACAATAAATGTAGTTATTTTTTAAAGGACAAACGTGATACTGGCTTATACGTACAAAAAAAATGAAATAAAATAAAAGTTAGAGTTTACCTTTGATTAAAATAAGCTATCTTAAATAAAGAGGGTGATGTTTACTAATTGTAATGTTATTTTATGGAATTATTACTAATTTTTTATAATTGATGTTTAACTTTTTATTCCCTTGATACTAATTAAACAGTAAGCATAGAAGAAGCCAGCACAATTCCTCTGGATTCTTATAAGGGAATGAAGCATTATTTAGAGGAATTACTTGAGAGAAAGTAAATATATTTTTCTTCTTGTTAATATTCATATTTATAATCAATCTATTCCTTTCCCTTTTCTCTTTTTTTTTTCTTTTTTTATTTTGGAAATTTGGCATGATCTATCTAATTTTCTGTTATTTATTTATTTTATTGAAGGAGTGTCAAGAGGGAGGATGCACTAAAATCAATCATCAAGGGCTTAACCTTTTACTCTAACTCGGAGTGTGAATGCTTACAAACCCAGTATAGTCTTTTTCTTTTTCTTTTTTTCTCTTTTCTTTGAAATATAGTTAAAATTTCTATTTCATCCATTTCAATTTCGTTAAATATTTATCATACCAGTTCAAAGTTACTTTCTTTATAACTTTTTTTTTTTTTTTTCTAGTTTTGCTACCACCCTTTATCGGTGTTTAAATTTATTCAAGAACAAGAAAAATTCTGCCAAAGAGTCGCGTTTAGCATCTCAAGCTATAGGCAAGTATATTGACATTCTATCCTTAATTAAAAAAAAAAAAAAACACACACACACACACAAATACAAACACAATTGATGTTGTCTTTTCTATTATTAATTCTATGGTTTCTTATTATTTGAATTTGTCAGGCTTGTTGGCTATAATTATTGACAATGAAGATAATGAGTATGAGATATACAGGGAGTTACTTCCTGTACTCTCTAAAGCCCTCAAGTCTGGACCTAAACCCTTAAAGGTAACGGTAGATTTTACACATATATAGCTAGTTCTGGAAAAATACTTGGGACACACAAGTATTGAGCACCACATTTAATAAAAAGTGAGCCCGGGCCACACCGTGGAATTTATTCTCTCTCAGTGTTGGTGTTCAACACCGTTAGTGTCTTTTAACATTATTCCTGATTGTGCGGGGATAAATAATACTTTAGGCCATGTTTGTTTCATATACTCAAACTCAAATATTTGATTCTAATATAATATTTTTCTTTTACAAAAAATTTGAATTTCAAATCATAATTTGAATATACCTTCCAAACAGTTTATTTGATCTTGTACTAATTTATTTTCATGCAGGAGTTGGAGTGTTTGGCTATAACAAGCTTGTTTGGTTCAACTAGGTCAGAGGAAACTGAAAATGCCATGCAAATACTATGGAATTTTATTCAATCCGATACTAACGTATGTTATAAATTCTTTTAATATTTTCTAATCTTGTGTAAATTTTAATTATGCTACACAATTTTATTAACATTATTATTTTAATCCTCACAGCATTCATCAGATGTCCTCCATGCTGCTATATCTGCCTGGCTGTTTCTTGTTGCAAGCTTGGATGGATGGAGATTCAGCTACAATCGTTGGCAAGGGTAAATAAACCTGCCTAGAGAAATTTCTTCATTTTGAATAAATTTATGTATTCTTGTTAATGTCTTACATTTTTCACCATTCTAAGTTTTATTTGCTTTTTAAACCGCCCCGATTCTAGTTACTATGATGGTGTTTTATCCCGTAACTTTTGACGACGGTTAAAAATTGTTGTGAAAACCTTAATTCGTTTTTTAGTTCCGAAAAAAGCTAACATAAATTTGTTGCAACAAATCATGCAGGGCGATTTCTTATTTCTTGAATCTATTACAGAATGGTGACCCATCATTGTCTTTAATAGCCGCTGAAGGATTGGCACTACTATTTGAATCAAAAATCATTGACAAGTTTTCCTTCAAGGAACAAAATAGTTCAACACCTATGTACACATACACAGAAGAAACATTTAAAGGTGTTGTTTTAGAAAAATTACGTCTTGCTCTAGAGCAGATAACTCATCAGAATGTTGCCGATAAAATGAAGGTCCAATATTTGCGTACTTTGAACTATTTTCAGGTATTTTTTTTTGGATTATTTATTTATTTATTTGTTTGTTTCTTTAGTCAAAAAAATTATTATTATTATTATTTGCTTGTGTTTTTTTATTATAGTTTGTTTATTGTTTGACAGAGTGGATGTTTCTTGGAAATTTGTGAATTAATCAACGGAGATAAATTAATATTATCACATTGGTCTCAAATAATCCAGGTGATTTTTAGACGTTTTATGAATTTTGATATTTCTAAGTTTATTAGTTGCAATTTTTCTTCTCTTGTTAAAGTTTTGTGATTGGCAATTTCTTTTTATTTTAAATATATTTTTTGTGCAGTTCAACTATCTGAAATCCTTTCTAGGAGATGAGGGATTTTATATCCACATGAAGGTTTGTCTTCTCCTCTTTCTTTTGTACTAGTTGAGATGATGGTGATGCCATTTAGAAATAACTTTGTAAATTTGATATGCGTCAAAACATGCAAAGTTAAATTATAAAAAAAAAAAATTTCACAAAATTAGAAAAATAAAAAACAAAACAAAACATTTAAAAAAAAAGGAAAAAAGGGAAAAGGAAAAAAAAAAGAAAAAAAAGGAAAAGGACTGTCACGTGGCATCTTTGAAAAAAAGAACACTTGATTGTTTGTACATAGAAAAACAACTTTGTAAGTTTGATCTGCGTCAAAACACGAAAAGTTAAACTATAAAAAATTCACAAAATTAAAATAAAAAAACAAAACAAAACATTTAATAAATAAATAAAAGAAAAAAAGAAAAAAGAAAAAAAAGAAAAATAAAGGAGAGAGGCTAGCATCTTTAGAAGAAAGAACGCTTTGTTCTTTTAATAGTTAATAGATAGATTAATTGACTATTATATATAGATTATAGATTAAATTAAAATTTTACAAGGGAAAACATGAAAAGTTAAACTATGAAAAATTCACAAAAATAAAAAAAAAATAAAAAAAATAAAAAAAAAACAAAACATTTAAAAAATAAAAAAAAGGGAAAAAGGAAAAGAGAAAAAAAAAAGAGAGGAGTTGCTACGTGACATCTTTAGAAGAAAGAACACTTTGTTCTTTTAATAGTTAATAGATAGATTAATTGACTATTATATATAGATTATAGATTAAATTAAAAATTTACAAGGGAAAACATAAATCGCTCCTACTCCAGATCAGATCATTGAAAAATTAATATAATAGCTAAAACATTAGTTCCTTCCTGTGGAACAAAAGTGTATGTCTTTTCATAAGTTTTTTTCTGGAAAATAATTACAATAGGAGTAAAATGAGAAAAAAAATATTCCAAAAAAAACACGCTACAGTAAATAAATTGTGGAAGAGTATTTAAAAGAAATAAGCAGAAAGAAAAAATAAAACAAAAGAACACACACAAACAAAAAGAAAAAAAAAAGAAAAAAAAAAAAAAGAGAATTGAATGGAGAAAGAGAGATGGAAAGAGAAATTAGCTCTATTATACATGTTATAGATCTGAGAATTAGAAAGCCTCCGAAAAGGAAATATCCAAATCAACTAGTTTTGTTTCTTGAAACAGGAAAATGAAAAACTCCAAGAAATATTTGATTTTACTCCCAGAAAAATTTCGAGGCCAATCCAAGATTTATACACACCCGTTGCGGAAGAGGTTCGTTAATTTTGCTTATATTGTAAAATTTCTATAATGGTTTTAATTTGTATTCTTTTTGAACTTCTATAATATAATTTCTAACTTTGACAATATCTTGCAGACCAGTATTAATAAACGTTTTGTGTTCGAAGATAAACATATAAAGCGCATATCAAAGGATAAAATAGCGAAAAGAAAGAATATGGTATGGTTTTTTCTTTTTTCTTTTTTCTTTTCTTTCTTTACTCATAAGATCATTATAATATATTGTTCCACATGTATTTACACTAACATCCATGTGTTTCTCTTGCAGATAAAGGGTCTATTAGACAAGGAAAAAACAATATCGATGACCAAATATCGGAAGTCCGCAGAGGTAGCTCTATTTCGCATTAACTTAATTTTCCTTTTTCAATTATTGTTATCTAACGAAAAATTTTTATAAGATCATAAATATTTTCAATTTTTTCCATATAATATTTCCAATTGCTGATATATAATATATTTTTTTTAATGTTCCAGGAGAGGAAACTCATGGGGCTATGGAATGAGTAACAAGTGACTACCAACAAATAAAGACCTCTCTGTTATGAATTAGTAGTTGTCCACCTCAGTTAAAATTATTATACAAGTCAGTCAAAGTTACTGTTTATGTCAGATCTTACTTTACAAATAATAACTGTAAATAATAAATACTATGCAAATAGTAACTGTGAATAGTGTCGAAAATTTTCCTATAAATAAAGTTCTAAAGCTCTTCATTTTATATACCTTCACAAAATTAATGAAAGTCTCTCGCTCTAGTTTCTCTCTCTAAAGTTTTTCTTCTTATTTTTGCATTTTCCTAGTTTTCATAACATGTTATCAGCACGAACGCTCAATTCCTACTGCGATTGTCTACATTCATTAAATCTGGTTGAGGGGACCGGTAGAGCAAGTTTTATATTGCCAAATAAAACAAAATTTTTTATAAATGATGCTCTATTTTCACCAAAGTCAAAGAAATTTGTTGAGTTTCAAAGACATATATCTTCATGGATATGATACACAATCTGAAACTAAAGAAAAATAAGAAATATATGTATTTGACCCCGTTCATTTCGCCGATTTAAGTTTAGAATTCGAGTTTTGCTACAGTAAAAAGCTCTCAAAAATAGTCACATCTAACTTTTTTACTACAGTAAAAAGCTCTCACACAAAATCACATCTCAACTCGAATTACAAACTCAAATCAGCAAAGTGAACGAGAACATCTAACGTATCAGGAAAGAAGTACAGTGCAATTGAGGATTTAATAAAAGGGCTTGTGCTCCATCAATTTGAACTTTATCGATTCTAAAATTTCCTCTGTCTCTAAAATCTTTGAATTAGCATGTTAACTTGTTCTTCATAATTGACATAAGGAAAAACAAAAACAAAAACAAAAAAAACAAAAACAAAAAAAAAACAAAAACAAAAACAAAACAAAAAAACAAACAAACAAACCATCATCGTTTAGGGTACAATGAAATCATTACTCATTCCATATGATTTTATGACCAAGAAGATATATTTGACATTGGGAAACATGATGAACATATCAAGGTTTTAAATTTCACTATTGGGTATTGAGGCGTTTTGCTTTTGCAAGATCTGGAAATAAAACCATAAAATAAACTAAATCCTAATTGCTAGATTTGGCACTTTGATAGCAGTTGCCTTTCAAAAAACCTGTTAACATGCTCACTAAGAATAAGATAATTCCAGGAAAACCAAAACAGAAAAAGCAAAAGTTAGCCAAATTTCCGAACAGAACCTAGATGTTTCAGTTGAACAAAATTTCACTTTGAATTGCCAACCAGCTCTCCCAGTCCCAGCTATAATACTGATCAGCAACTACGAAATCTTTGGTACAAATAGATAAAATCAATACCCAAATAAATAAACCAAAGAAATAAAACAAAATAAAGTAATTCAAAATTGTGACTTTTCGTATGAATATGAACCTCTAGTATATACCTAAAAAAAAAAAAAAAAAAACGAACCCCTAGTATATTCTTCTCTATCAAATTGGTCTCAAATGTCTAAAAAAATCATCCACAAGGATACCCTCCAAATATGAGCGTGTTTCTAATTAGTCAAAATTAAACTGAACAGAACAAAGGGGTTTTTCAATCCCATTTCACACTAACAAAACACTACAGGTTCAAAGCTAATCCACAAGAAAATTGGGGCTTTTTTTTTTTTTTTAAATTTCCAAGAGAACCCTAATTCGAAATAAAAATGGAAACTTGAAGAAGCAAACCTGCAAAGAAGAGAGCTGCGACTCGAGGGACTCAAGCGCATCGCAGATATTCAAAAGCCTCTGTGCCTCATCATCATCATCTTCTTCTTCCTCGTCGTCGTCGTCGCCGTCGCCGACGCCATTTTCGTTTTGGGGCAATAATTCATCTGCATCTAGGGCTTTGCGCGGAGAATTTGTCGCTTTGTGAATGCAGTTTCCGATCTTCAGCCGAAGCTCCGTAGCCCTTGCGAGCACCAATCCTATGCCTTCTTCTTCCCCCCTCTCTCTCTCTCTCTCTCTCTCTCTCTCTCTCTCTCTCTCTCTAGGAGGGTTTGACAATACTGGAAGGAGAAAATTTTGACTGGAACTGGATTTTCAATTCAATGGAGGGTTTGGGTTTCAGGTTTCAAAGCAGGGAAAAAGTTTCTCACAACAAAAAATGGGTCCTATTAGTTCAAGTATATGAGTCATTTTTAAAAACTCTCTCCTCACGTAACCGACCGTTCGACCCTCTCTCCCCCCGAAATCGACCGGTCGACCCTCTCTCCTCCCGATTGAGCTCTCTCACGACTGACCGCCGGTTTTTCTCTCTGATCTCTTCTCACCGACCGCCGGCATTTCTCTCCGATCAGTCACCAACCTCACGACCGACCATCACTGACCGCCGACTTTCCTCCCACATGTTTCTCTCTCTCTCGCCGAAGTTCTCTCACCGGCCGATCCACTCTCTCCGATCTCTCTCGTCGGCCGACCGACCACTCCTTACCAAACACCGACCGTTCACCAAAACCCGACCTCCCTTCCCACTAAATCGACCCCGACCACTCACCAAATTCCTGACCACAGAAACCGACCACCTGCTCACCAAAATTTGACTAAAGACCGGGGACTTTTAGACTGAAATGGCATCACAAAATAACTCTTCTTCCTCAACTAAAACAGCCATTTCCCGAACACTTGTCGACGAGGCAACGAAATCTGCTCACGAAATATTTTTGTTTTACTTTTTCTTATACATTTTTATAAGAACAAAACTTAATATAAGCAACATTAGTCTGTTAATAGTCGGTTTTGGTTCTAGTATGTTCGCAGTCGGTTCTGGTGGTCGGTTCTTAGTCGGTTCTTGTCGAGTAGGGTCAGTTCTAGTCGATTTTGGTCGGTTCTAGGTGAAGTCGGTTCTTGGTCGGTGGGTGGTCGGTTCGGGTCACTTTTGTTCGGTTTTGGTCGGTTCGGTCGGTTCTTGTTTGGTTTCTTGGTCTATTCTAGTTGGTTCTGACCGATGTGTTTTTTCTTTTTTTTCAGTATGACCTCCCGAAGTACAACACAGGTGAACTTCTTGGGATTAGACATCTAAGGATGATCATGGATCCTACGCGGGAGTATTTCCTAGTGAAAGTCACTATGAAGTCAAAGATCGATGCCCTAGAGGTAATAAGGCAGAATCTAGACCCCGAAACGGAAATGTCAATTTTCAAGGAATCTGTCTTCAGACATTTTATTTCGATGTCTGAAAATATGATCTATTTTGGAGTGTTGACACACTATCTGCTTTTGAGACAGATAGAAACAAAAAAGAGACATGAGTTGTGGTTCATGGTTAATGGAACCACAACTAGGTTCAGAATGAGAGAATTTGCTATAATTACTAGATTGAACTACGGAGAAACTCCAGAGCCGGACGTGGTCTTGAAAGCTTCGAAGAATATAAGATTGTTGGAGCATTTTAAGTCCCACGTAGTACTTGTTGCTGATTTAAAGAAATTGCTCACATGAAAAAAGATAAAAGATAGCGATATAGCAAATATCGCTATCATTTATTTTTTAACACAAGTATTACTATCTGGGGACGAGAAGAAGACCGTCCCACTGGATTGGCTGTCTTACGTCGACGATTTAGAATTCTTCAATAGCTATCCATGGGGCAGGGTGTCTTTTAAATGCACTCTGCGGGCTTTGAAGAAGAACTTGAAAGAGAAATTCCAGAAATGGGTTCGAAAAGGACGTAATAAGAGCATCAAGGAAACCGACTCAATATGCGGGTTTCCTTGGGCCTTCCAGGTATGTCATACAGTTATATGCATAATTTTTCATGGCCTTATAGTAAATAATACATTGTTTTTTGTTTTACTAGACTTAAAAAAATTAGTTTAACGCAGGTTTGGGCATTCGAAACATTTCCAACCATCGGCGCCACGTTTGCAAAGATGGTTGATGGACGTCTTCCTAGAATCCTCAAATGGGAGGCACGTCGGGTTTCATTGGTCGAGGTTAGACAGATAGACGACCTCATGCAAAGTGGCGAGGTAAGTGTTTAAATATAATATTTTTATAGGTGTAAATTTTACAAAATAGGCATATTTGTTTTTTTTACAATATGTTTCTACCTAAATAATCATTGAATGTATGTTCTTTTAATATATAGGGAATGGCCGTACCAATTCTTTATCCCACTGAGGAGGAAATGAATAGTATGTGCATGAGGTTGTATCTGCCTTATGCCGACCAAGAAGATCCTGAGATTGACCAGCTTGCATCGTTTTTAGACTCTGGTGCAAGAATGGTCCATGTCCAGCAACTGAAGCCTCCCACACAATTGGCTCGTCTACAACTACTTCTCCAACAACAACAGCAACTTCCCCAACAACAATAATAACAACAACAACAACAACAACAGCAGCAACAGCACAGCAGCAGCAACAACAATAACAACAACAACACCAGCAGCAGCAACAACAACAACAGCAACTTCGTCCGCAGGATGGTATGTCTATTGATCACATACTTGACATACTCTATCACAGGATGGTAGACTACAATGGTAGATGTTGCAATATAATTTGACTACGCTTGCAAGTGCACAAGTCGTACAAGTAATAAAGTGGTCTGAAGACCGATATCATCCCACGAGGATTGACGTTAAGAATATAAACTAACTATTGTGAATATCATATCTTAACTTTATCTAAGCGATCAAATTTGGATGTGATAAACTCAAAGAAAAACTAAAATAAAGGAAAACTAAATCAAAAGGAAAGATGACTGGAATTAATAATACGTGCTGAAATTAGAACGGAAAATCAATATGATAAAAATGCTAGGGTCTTGACTTCACTATATTGTGATTATGTTTCTCCATAGTAATGTACCTAACCTAACTCAACGTTCTCAAGAACCTAGAGTGATGTATATCCTGGAATTCCACTTTTCAATTTCACAACCTAAAATTGTTTCGGTTACTTAGGCAATGTTTATCTCTCGATCTCACACCAACCTAAGTTGTTCTATCCGTTTC